TTTATTCTCAAATATAGTTTTCTTTTTCTTTTCGTGGGCAGTGTAGGAATTCCTGTGCCTCACATGTTAAGAATATCAAAGTTTCCTAAAATATCTTATTTCCAATATTGAAGAAATAATCTTACCCGCCTTGGAAAAAATAACTTTATCTTACGCGAATAAACTTGATATTAATGTAGAACAGCTTCCATTGATTTCTATTAAATTATTCTAAAACTTCGGGATCACATGAATAAACTTTTAAAGAAACTACTTAGATTTATAAAATGAAAATCGTTTGCCTATTTGTGAAATAGTTTGATTTGCTTTGTTCTCATTTGTGTGAAATATTCATTTTCAAGTCTGTAGGACATTATGGTGATTTTCTAAGCGTAGCTTAGGTGTGGCACAAGGCCGAAAGTATGGGGCACCTAGTGAGCTTTAGAACATTATGGTTTTTCTTTTAATTTTTAATTATAATTGTGTTCTCTGACCAATTATGTCCGAAGATAATCATTTCGCTGAACAATTTCTAGGGAAGTGATCATGTAAATTTGCCAAACATACAAAGTGAATGGGTCATTTTTTTTTTCTTCTCGTTAAGAGGCGATGGTTTGTTTCCCATTTTATGCACACGCTGTTTATTTGTTTAAGTGTTCACTTGATACAAGGCCCGAAAGCCACTCAAAATAGAGGGTTACTGAATGAGCTTGTTGTATGACCGTAAGGGAGGGGTACGAAGTACAGATTATGAGGATCTGTAGGAAAGATGACAGTTGATGCTAAACTTGAAGAGCTTAAGACTGTACCAAGGAAGCAGCCTCTCAGAAGTTTGTTCCACAAAATAGCGGTTCTTGGGAAGAAGCTGTCCGAATGTAACTTCATTCTTAATAATGGAATACTAAGGGAATAGGGGGGGATTCGTCTTAGTGTACTTGGCATAGTGGGTGTTATCTGCGAAGGCCTGAACTTGTGGAACTAATGAATGTAGTCCGTAAGAACTTTTACCATGGAAACAGCAATAGTATAGTGAGACATTTGCGACGTTTTGTTTATGGGAAAGTGGTTATATAGTAGAAAGTGATTCATCAGCCACAAGGTTGCGTGGGCGCTTTTGAACAATCAAGGATGGAAAGTGATGACTGGGTAGCTACAGTTCACATACGACGACAGTACCCAATTTTTTGTCTGATCTGGCTCTTGTAAAGAGGGAGCATAGCAGGGGGAGTCACTTTACCTTCCCTTACTCGTTATATCAACTTCTGTTTCTGTTCACTCTCTTCATAATATAAACCCCCAAAGAAAACTTTTCTAGGTCAATTTATTTTTGCTATTGTTTTATTTTGTATTTTTTTTATTTTTCTATTTCTCATTTTTTATCTTTGTATATCTGTCTGTCTGGGGTATATTGATTCCATTTCATAAAACGTAATCGGACTTATGAGATGTATACAGTTATATTCATCGAAATAAATTTATTACTGACAATGGATTTTTAAGGTTTTTTTTCCTAAGAATTATTATAATTTGCTTTGTATCATACACTGAGCTCTCATATGGACTAAATGTCCTTTTTGGAATAATCCCTACCAATTACAATCATCTGATTACATACATCTGATTAAATCCTTGAAAGACGAAATGCGTTATACAAATGTGTCCATTTTGTCAATCCATTACCAAAAGAAGTTCTGTATAAAACATTGTATTAAGTATATATCTATGACTGCCTTTATATGTTGGGCTTCTTCGCGCCAAAGCAAATCTTGCACTTCACATTTGTAGAAGAAACAACTAACAAACGTATTGTTGATGGTCCATGAGAAAACTATGCAAACTTCGCTACCAAAATTGCTTACTTTCTTTATGGGCACACACACACACACACACACATATATATATATATATATATATATATATATATATATATATATGTGTGTGTTAATTGAAGCAAACACATGTCGCGGTTAAGTTACTTTGACATAATGTTCTCACACTCTATTTCCGATTATCCTTCCCTACAACGTATTTCCTTCTTTGTTTATGTTTCCCATAATTCTAGTTGAAAATTGTGCAAGATTATTCTATAGATATTTTTAATAAATTTCTATTTTGGCATATGCTGTAACATATCTGATTTTTTGTAAACATTTCCTTTCGATTCATAAAAATAAATTTGCTGTTTATTTTGTTCCTGAACCTTTCAAAGTATACTTTATTCTGTTTATCTAACTTCCCTATTGTTTTCTTGTATATTATTTTATCTGTTATATTCATATGTACGATTACGGCATCTTTGCATCTATTTAATTATCTAATACACTATTTTATTCCTATCAGTCCCATTTGTTTTTCAGTCTTATATTTACCGCTTTACTTTAGTTAATTTATCTCATACTTTCATTTTATTCCTGTATTTGTTTATTCGTCTGCTCATTTTTTCCACATATATATATAATCTCTCAGAATTTCTGGGATGACAAGTTGGCATTATTTATATTCAGACTACAGTTAACATCTGTTATCACATTTTGGCTGTTGTGCGATCCGGGTAATTGAACCCTCTATTTAATTAATCTACAGAAGTTGATTGTTCTCAATCCACTTTTAATGTCTAGCAATATATCTTTAGTACTGTTCAGGTATTGCTTGCCTTGTTTCCACTGAGTCTAAGAATACATTACCGTTCCAGGGATTGAATTACAATTACTATGTCACTAAATTCAGGAAACAACGCTTTAATCTACTAGGCTATTTCTTGAGTCTAGATTGTCAAGAACTTGGAGCCTTAAACGTAATCTGCTTGCTGCTGACATACCTGACTACATTCACTGTGGCTTCTCTATTTTTCTCATTATTGCTACTGTTATCTCTATTTATTAATACCTTCCATACTTTATTTATATCTATGCCGTGCCTTCTAAGGGGGCTCTCGTTGTCTAGAATCAGACGTCTATCTCTCCAGTGTTCTGCCCTATTTAGTATTTTTAATTAATCTCCTGCAACTATTTAGATTATTCGGAATATTGTCCTCATCTTTGTCGCCATATATATTATAACGTTTCGGCTGTTGTACGCTCCGGCCTTCTTCAGGTGGTTGGAATGTCGAACTGAACCCTTTATTTCGCTCAGTGGGGTAGACTGTTCTAGTTCCACATGCTATGTCTAATGGATGTCAGTTATCAGTTATCTCCTGTTAATTCCCCTCACCAAGTTCTCCACCGCCTTAACCAGGTATTGAACTCACACTCTTTCGGTCCTGTCACTGGATCTAACCAATTCCTTTATCCACTGTGCCATGTGTCCTAGATTTCACTGATGCACTTTTCGATGTGCCTCCAGACTTAATTTTAAAGGGCAGTTGCCTACATCTTTGTAGTTTTTGCTACAACTACAGGGTATGGTATATAGCTTTTGGTCATGTTCTCCTTTGTGTTAGGTTCAAATCAGCGGATATTTTCCATGATGTCAAGCTGATTCTGAATATTGTCATGATATTGAATGACCTGTATATCTTCTGAATCCTGCCCGATAAGCCCTTAATATAAGGGAGACAGACGTTGGCAGGTTTTCCGGTTATTCACCTCTTCAATCTTTCTCTTTCTGTCTGCAGAAACTGATATTTGCAGAGTCGTCGTTATTCTGAAGAGTAACTGAATTTACCTAATCTCAATCATTTTGTATCTTGATGGATATGAAATAGCTATCTCAGAATGACTATATGTATCCAAACTCATTTCTCCATCACAGAGCCTAATCGATAACTACTACGAGAACATGTTTTCAATATCATTCTACAAACATGCACACGGAAGATTATATAGATTGATATATAGAAGAGTATGTCGCATTTAGTTTCCATTTCAAATTAACCTGAAACCACTTTTTACCAGTTGAACGCATTTTTCAGATAATTTCTCTTCGTTCTCATGATATTTGCAAATAAACTTTCTAAATAAAATATAGCTACTCTATTCTATCACTATCAAAAACTAAAACCCGCACCGAATTCCCACTCTGTTCTAATGTTAAATTTCAACTAAATAAACACTCTGATTTTTCCTAAGCTAAGCCGAGTATGACACAAATGCTAAAATGAATAATTGTGCTATTCTTCCTGCCTCGAAAAATTTTCATTAGAAGCCATAGTGTTCAACTCCAAATAAAATAAACTAACTCCTATCGCGAATGAGAAATAAACAAGTAACTCAGCAAAGATGCAAGCCCAGTCTTCCATGTTTGCTTCTTTGTTTATTCATGTAACATTGTTACATTCTTGCTATTTCACTGACAGTGATTTTCAGTTGTCTTTCAAGTTTCGCGCATGCGCTTTATCCCACTTACCTAATTTTCTTGTACTAATGGTGATAAACTATTTCAAGGCTAAGCAAGACGTGACTTTTTTTTTCTTTTTTTTTTTTTTATCAACGAAAATTTCTGGAATTATTTTAAAACAAGTGACTCTCGAGACTATTAAAAAGAAACAAATTTTATCGAATAAAGCAGAATTGAAAATGTTGCTTTTTATAGTAAAATTCTTCTTCGTCCTAACCAGATAATCTTTTGCATTTATGCTGTGGTTAGTAGAATCGACCAACAAATATCTGTTACCTTAAATCAATTTATTCGCATTCATTATTGCATTCATATTTCATTTCAAATCGGCAATACATTACAAACAAGTCGATAAGGAGATAAACTTCATAATTTTGTCATAGCAGACTGAGCCGATCATACATGACGACACTTAGACGAAATACATGATCACATGACTGATTATCACCAGATTTACTTGAAAAAGACAAAATAACTGTCGGTGATATTTTAATCCTCTCCATTACAAGATTCCCCTGACAACCCGCACAGTTCAGTATAATCTCTCAACAAGGCAAACAAACCGAATTAAATCCTATTAAATTATTTTTTTCATTCACATACAAACAAAAAATATCAAATATGTAGGCGTAAAACTTCTACGCGATATTACCAATTCCATTTATAGCATATACGAACAATTTGGTTTACGGCCATATCACGTTGAAACACCGGTTCTCATACGATGACTGAAATTAAGCAATACTGAACCTGATCAGTACCTAGATGGATGATCGCTCGGGAATGTCAGCTGCTGTACCCTTGGATCTGTGGGTAGTGTAACGGATAACGGGAATGCGAAGTCGGAGAGCAGTTTGAATTTCATTCGGGTTCGTAACATCCCATTGAAAAGGTATGAATCTACCTCTTCTCCTCCTAGCTAAGGGTTAAAAAGTAAGGACTGCATAAGAAAATAATTATCTCCAAAGAATTCTTATAATCAAAATGTTTCGGTTTTAAATGGCTTTAAAAAGATTGATCATTCGTAAAAAAAAAAAAAAAATCAGCCAATTAATCAAGAACAATTTGATAAAGACTGGCTACAAAAATATAAAAGATCAAGAGCCATACATAATTTCCTTAATGGGTGTTTATTTGCTTTCCGAGATTGGCGCTATGTAATCTTTCTAAAGTATGTAATCATTGACATTAGATCTTCACTGAGTTAAACGGATTTCTGTTCACTGTTCCAAAATTTAATCATTTAAGTTTTTTAATTTCTTCTTTAATTCCAAAAGATTACATTCTTGTTTCTGGTATTTTGACATTTAGGAAAAGATTAATCGGATTTTTTTTTTTTTTTGCAATTAATAAAAAATAAAAATCAGTATTAGACTAAAACTCATTGATTTTTTTTTTTTTTTTTTTTTTTAAGAAATATTTTTCTCTCGATATTTATGAAACACGATCAAAAGAGAAGGATATGCCGAATGGAAGAATGTGTCATATCAGGCTTCTAAATGAGAAGGGGTTGCCTGCCTAGAAAATCAGCATTCAAAAATTTTTATTTTTTTTTTTACCTGGATTCGAATTTCTATCACGAATGGGAAATATCTAACAAGATGCATAGATATCCTTCATCGTTTTATATTTTTATCCACATTTCCAAAAGTAAAAGCAAAAACTTCAAACTTTGTTCACTGAAAAACAAATTTTCTTGATATAAAAAAAAATCGCAAACATTTGTCACTCGCACGTGTTGTTTTGAGGCAAGTTTTGTTAAATTCAATCGACAAAACCTGTCTAATTTTTATTGTATTTGTTACAGTGTTGAGCATCGGAATTGTGAATAGACTGTGAATTTTCTGTTTTGTTTATCCGATTTGTTGAGTTTGACAAAACTTGTTCATTTTCACACACACACATATATATATATATATTTTCAAGTAAAAAATGTAGTTAGGATATAGACATCGAAAGTCCCAATTTTATATAAACATATACACATACATTTTAAGCTCTTCCAATATTTTAATTATTTCATATATAACACGAAACATAAAGCTCATCCATTACAAAAAGGATGATTGATATAAATAAGCTCAACAAAACCAAACATTAATCCAATTCCCAACTGCAGTTGAAAATAATTCATTTAAACTTAATATAAAATTTGTTACAATTATTTCTAAATCAAATAGACTTAATATATAAAAATAAATTTGAAACCAGGAATTTACACTATATTTTGTAATGTTTCCCACAAATACAAAAATAAAAGATTATATGAACGCAAAAGATCATTTACAAACCAACACACTCAGCGCATAAATCGTTCATCGTAATGAACTTGGCTATAATTTCGATTTAAAACACGTTGCTTTAATTTGAAGTGAAATTAATTTAGTAAAGTGAAAATGTTTAGAAAATGCACTGATTTATGAATCCGTCTCGTTACATTTGCGCCCAGGTTACATTTCACCTTCACTTTAACAAATCTTCTATTTTTACAATGTGGAATATTTAAAAACAACAGTGATTAGAATAAGAGCAAAGGCGTTGGGAGGTCGAGTTGGATCGACTGTGTGCTGTGCGTCTGGACACCTCGGACGCCAAACATTTTTAAAATTAGCGTTCCTACATCTGGAGCGTTTCCCCTCGTTGCATAATCATAATCAACGTTTACGCTTATATCTCCCCCCACTTCCCCTACATATATATAATTCCATTAACAAGAACATTACTCTAGTTCGATGAACTTCTTTTAGAGGATGAAACGCATTACATAGAATTTGTTCCGCTTTGTCATTCAATTAACTTACATTGTTCAGATATATAGAAAATTATATATCATATTCTCTTACAGAGAATGTGTGTTTTATTCATATTTATTAGTATTTATGAAAATGATAAAATGTAGATAACAATAATTATACTGTAATATGTTAGCTTTCGCCGTACTTTTGCAAACTATTACAATGCTCAACTGCTGTATTTTAATGCCAAAAAATATGAAGTAAAAAACAAATTTCTGAAAGAATTTTTAAAATTCTTTTTTAAATCTGAATTTAATACGAAATATTTTAATATTTTTCTATGAGTTTAGAATTATTTTAAGAACTATTAAGAATTAAGAAAGAATATTAAATGAATATATAATACGCTTTTTAGTTGCTGATTCCTGTTATATTTTCAATTGCAAATATAATTTTCATGTCATAATTATATACAATCTGACAAAGTTTGTGTGTCTCAGCAAAATAAAGGTAGCGAGATCGGTTTATCTACCTCTGACATGTTCAATAGTTATTGGTTATCGTTCTTTCCGTATGTTACTGGTCATAATGTCATAACTATATATAATCTGGCAAAGGTTTGTGTGTGCCTCACAAGCAAACGAAAAGTTCTTATGACATCATATATGTCTTTTACATAAATAACAAGCACTTACAGCCATATCACGTTCAAAAACACCAGTTTCTGTACGATCATCGAAGTTAAGCAACTTCGATCCTGGTTAATACTTAGACCGCTTGACAATAACATATGTTGTAAGCTTAGATGTGCGAGTGGTGTAATGGATCGTAATTGTTAATCGGAGAGCCGAGTTCCATTTTCAGTTATATTCACTTACGCGCAAATATCCTTGGAAAAGATATAAATCCACTTCTTCTCCTCCTAGCTATGGGTTAATTAGTAATAATTGTATCACTAAATCATTATCTCAAAAGATTTCTTACAATCTAAAAATATTTTCTGGCTTTAAATAAGCAGCATATTCGTGCATCAGAACCAAGCGGAAAGTTTCCGGAATTTACAGATATTACGTAAATAACAAGCACTCATGTAATAATCTTCTAATCTAAATAAATAAACGGAAAATTCTGTCTGTCCGTTCGTGTATCTGAAATTCCTCTAACTCTGGCCACACTTGCTCTACATAGACATATTATACTTTTTTGTAAATCTACTCTTCATCCAGTGCTTGAACATCCAGTATTGGGATTTTTGTCTGGATGAAAACAGGAAACAGATAAAAAAAATTCAAATTTTGAAATAACTGAAAAAAATTAGTGATTTTAAGTTTCTAATTCATATTGAGTTTAAAATAACAGAAAAATTAAAATTGTTTTAAATTCAGTTTTAAATATCTCCAAAAGTTTTTGAATTCAAGAAATCAATTATATTTTTTCAAAATTCCAAGAAATCAGAGTTAAAGTGATGTCAAAACCTCACATGACTTTAACACTGATGTCTTGGCATTTTCCGTAGAGTTTGTGATTTAAAGAAGTCAGTTTTCGCCTTGAATTGGAATTTCAGCTAAAATCAGACTTTCGGCTTGAATTGAACTTGTAACCCGAATCAGAATTAAAGTGAGGTTTTAAGTTCCATGGAGTGAATTGAAGAATTCAAAGTTATTTTTTTCAAAATCATCATTACTGTTGGCTAAGCTGGGTTAGAGATCCCTTTAGTTTTTTGTCCAGATACCAAATTAGCACCCCCACCCTGCTGCAGCGAGTTTAAAAGTATGTATGGAGTACGGCTTTTAAGTTGTTGTAAAATATCCGGACTTAATCTAAAATGTTATTCAATATCACTGAGTTCATCAAAGAATAAAGCATGTCACTTTTAGCCAATTGAAGCAATTTTTAATAAAATGTAGTGACTATATTATAAAGTATCCCAATATTTGGGAACTTCCAAAATCGTGGAGCAGATAAAGTCTAATTTAACTTCTGAAGTCATTTGTGGTAGAATTAGTTTGTGATCATTATTGTCTGCATTTCCTCTAAACCATTACATTTATGGGGTAAGTTAGAATGTAGGAGAAACTTAAACAGAAAAGGATAATTTGGAATTAAGATAGCAGCTTCTTTTTTTCTTTTTTCACCTAAACAGCATAGTCACATTTTTTTTCTGTCTTGCTTTTAAAATGTGCAACACTGGAAAACATTTCAAAATTTATAAAAGATATTTTTCTCCTTATTTAAATCTCTTACCTTGCTGAATTTTGCATGTCAAGACATTGGTCAAACGCAAAGTCTCTGGGACCCAGATTTGCATGTTTACCTACAAAATCTCAAGGCTATATAAAGTTGAAGTTTGTTATTTGAGGTCTTCAAAGAGCGTAATATGCTATTTCTAGTCAACTGAAGTAATTTCTAGCAATATTTATCAAGATATAGTTTGCTATAAAATACAAAAATATTTTTGACTTCACAAATGGTAAGGCCAATCAAGTCAAATGTTACCTCCCTCCAAGGTCAATGGAAATAGAATTTTGTGGCCTTTAATTCTATTGCAGTCAAGCAATTATATTCCTGGAGGTAACTTGAAACCTGGGACTAACATGGACAAAGAAATGACAATATAATTAAATGGTCACCAGGTGTAAATTTTAAGATTAACTGTATATTTTTAGCAAAATTAACTTAGAGAAACACGAACTACAAAACGGATTATGTATTCATTTTATATTTAGATTTTCATCTGCTCTAAATTAGCAAAAAACTGCAAAAAATAATAGTGGTTCTGTGAGTAAGTCATTCTTGCTCCAAAGAATTATGTAATCTAAGAAATAAGATATGTTGCAATCACATTCCTACAAATTTTCAACTCTATGTTTGAAACACAGTTCGAGTTAATTCTAAAGTAGTCAAAGCCCAGTTGAGTTCCTCAACTCTATTGGGCTGCCTGGTGTTCCTTCCTACAGGATTCAACTAAATATTGCTTCGTCCACCGCGAGGAAATTTGGCTCTCTGTGCCGCGCCAGGAAATTTTTCTCCCCGGAATCGATACTTCAAATATACAAATCAACC